TGTGGGTTATGATCTGTTTAGGTCTGGTTTAAATTTGTCTATGAAGTTTTTTTCTTGTATTTTTAGGTACAAATAATTTTCTGTTTGATATATTTGCATAATTTTAAATTTATCTTGATTACATTTGTAAACAGTTTAGCTGAAAACACTCAGAATTAAAAAAGTTTGGGACAATTTTTACATTCATTAAATCTAGAAAAGACAGTTATACAAGAAAAACATAAAAATGCTAAACAAAAATGTGTTTTCAGTTTTATTAAAGGAAACATGTATTAAATAGGGATTGTTGCCAAAATATATACACAGACAGACAGTACATACATTAAGCATTCTTGAGAAGACATAAAATTGAATATTACAAAACTAGTTTTTCATCATTATTTCACTTATTACTATACATGCTCGTCTTTGTATATTCTACTAAAGAGGACACTGTACCAATAGAAATGACCTACATAACTACAATATAATGGTTTGTCTGACTGAAAATAAAAGGACACCATCCACTTGAGTGCCTCTAAAATTTTCAGAGGTTTTCAATTCCCACACAACTGTTCATGGTTGAAGCTAGTAATTATACTATAAAATATTTCCGTTTTCAATTCACTCTTAAGAGCTTCAAATTCCTATTCAGATTAAAAAAGAAATTTATTTGTCCATAAATTACAATAAATGAAAAGGTGGGTGTACTTGATGCTCATATGAACAATATTCTTTTTAGCAGCGTGTCGTGTCTAAATGGTTCCAGATTCTTTTTCATCTTTGGTTTTCTGGCTATTTAGAGATGAAAGCTGCCATTATAATAATAGCTATGCACCTGGTTTCTGGAGACTGTCTCCTAAAGCAATGCATCATGCATTTGCACAAAAGAAGGACAAAATCAGAGGTGCACACTGACATCTGCAGGATATGACAATCAAACTCTGCTGTTTTTACGATGACTCAAAAGCAAAGGCAGGTCATCCATATTAAACTAATACCTATTCACTTTTATTTTGTTTTTCCCAAGTAACTTATAACAGCAATGACTTTATTCAAGCATAATTTATTTTTATTTCAATTAAAGAAAATTTGGTATATTTAAAATTACTGTTGTTGATTTATTATGGTTTATCAACCCTTTGTAGGTTAGTTAAAACCAAAACATATTTTGGATTGTAAGAATAATTATTTCTTTATTTTTTTTCTTTTTTTTTTTCTTTACAAGTGAATATTGCATTAACGGTTTTGTGGGGAATAATAATAACTTTTCCAGATACAAATCCTACTATTTAACCCATATCTAGGGGTAGAAGAATTCATACCTTGGATAGTGGCTCAGAATAAGAAATCAAAGAAACAGGTTTGAATTCCAGTTAGGTTTGTTACATTCACTTATACACAAATACCCTTGGGAAAGATATGAATCCATCTCCTCTCCCTAGCTATGGATTAAATAGTAAAACTTATATCTGGAAAAATCATTGCCATTCTTAAAAAAAAAAAAAAAAAATTTAATACAATACAGACTAGAAAAATGAAAAAAAAAAATTCTTACAATCCAAAATACATTTCAGTTTTAAATCATCCACAAAGGGTTGATAAACCAGATAAAAAAAAATTAATACATTGCAGGAAACATTTGACATTCATTGGCCAAACAGCATTATTGTCATTTGAAAATTTATAAAATCTTTTTCTTAAGAGTTTTTCAGAAAAAACAAACTTCTCTAGAGCTATATTATTGCTCTTTCTAGGGAGTTTCCTTCCTAACCTTTTGTTTAAGGTAGTGTTAAAAGTCAACATCAGGATTATATTATTATTTTTCCTTCTAGTTATACATGCTATCCATTTTAGTTGTTGATGCTCTTGGAAGTCTTCAAGTGATGTGGCTTTTGTTATTTGGTAAAGCACTGTCGTTTTGTTGATGAAGGATTGTCTTTAAGATCTAAAGGATTCAGGAGCTTAATGCCATTCTTAATCATAGATTTGAGAAAATTGCTGCCGAGATGATAGTCTAGACATTTTTCAATGAATCTGATGCCATGCATGACATCCACCTGAGAGTCTACATACAACAAGGATAATTAAGAAAATAACTCGAGTTCTTGTGCTAATATTTTGGTTTTGTAGTACCTTAAGGTCTTGGGCAAATATTCCCCAGTGCAAACTATTTTGTGTTCAATTTATTTATCTCCAATACTAAATTCGTTATAACTGATCTATACAAGTTTGGTATGTTTCGGCGTTTCCCATTTGGTGTGGCTGATTCAGCATCAGAAAAATAATTGGACAATTCAGCATAGCCATTTAGGCATCATGCTGTTTTAATGTCACTGTCTTTGACACCCAACTTTCAATATGACTTTTTATTCATTTAAGAAACTAAGAATCCTATTAAAACACTAATGGAATAATGTAAACAAAAAAATTCCCATGCCAAATAGGCTGCACCGAAACGTCCTATTCCCCGATCTACACACCAAAGTATTTTTACACAAGTTTGGGTGTTAACTATTTGCCCATAGCTAGGACCCTAACAGGTGCTACCACCACGGGTCAGGGTGGACCTGGGAACACCAGCAATTAAGAGGTGGTGCCACACTCCTCAAAACCTCCTGATCAGAGGCCTTGTTGTTGGACATAGTTTATTGTCTTACCCAGGACACGGGTGTAGTTTATCGTCATACCCAGGACGAAATCTAAACACCAAGGTATTTGAAGTGTTTAGAATTTATTAATTTCATATTCTGAGTTTTTATGATGGATTCATTGTATGTGCCATCACAAATCTTGTTCCAATTCCTGATCATTGTTTCCTTTTTACAATGACAGGTCCTACATTTCGAAACACTTGGTAAAGAATGTGGATTTTTTTTGTTCAGGATCATTCTTATCTGAACTCAGGTCAGTTATGTGCCATGCATGATACATACCTAGGAGATCATGTATTTTTTGATACATGACTGACAAGGCAGATTTTTTCCCCACAGTAGGTTACCATCTCTTTCTGCGGTAGACCAGTTGCCATCCAAGGCTATAGAACCCAGTCTGTCCTACTATTTATGCATAGCTACTGGGAGAAGAGGATTCATACTGTTCACAAGGGTATTAACATGTAAGTGAATGTAATGGCTTTGACTGGAATTCGAACTCAGCTCTCCGATTCCTCAATCCAAGATGCTATCCACTATTCAACCGTACAAACACCTATATCATCAGCTTATGCTCTTTTGTTGTCAGTACAGGATTAGGGTTGAGAGATTTTGATTTTATTCACATTTATTGGGCAGAACAAAAAGAAAAAGATAAAAGAAATACATTTCTTTTGTAGTTTTCTGAACCTTAGACCATATCTCATTTTATAAAGAGTCAGATGAGAACCAAAACAGAAGTCTTGTTCTGTGGATGCTTACTACTCATGTTATATGTTCTATAGTGAAAAACATAGTTGTGATGTGTACTTCAGTTCCATGAATTTCATTCAATCATGTTTCCTTTGAACACACTATCCATAACTTACTTTTGTTAATGAATTATGGAAATCAAAACAATTAGAGGACATTGGTCAATTCACAATCAGAAATTAGAAAAATTGTCAATACTGAACAAAGAATCAATAAAAATAATAAACAAGGAGCTTTCAGTTAAATGAATGAGAAACTGCTGGCTATATAAGTTTTTTACGTGCTTTGTTTATACGAAGACAGTATCTGTAGATTACAAAACATTAACATACATTGGTCATATCACATTTTTTTCAATAAGACTGAGGTTTTACCTCTCCAAATAAATTATTATATACAAACTTTTGACACAAATCTATGACAACATTTTTAATTACAGTCAGATTATGGTCAATAATACAACTATAAACTGCTAATCTAACAAATAAAAATAAAAAAAATTAGAAAATGTAAGATCCTCATATCAAAAGACAGCAGCCAACCATCAATAAAATTTGTCTCAATCTTGGCAAGCGTTTTTTAAAGTGCCTTTGAACCCTGAACTCATTTTAACCATATGATGCTAAAATTTGTTTCACTGCCAGAGCATGTGAAATGGTTTTCATTTCAAACTCCTAACAACACAAATGAACTATTGGTCATCTTCTTACTTCTATTTACTTTATTTAAAAAAAACACCTAAAATGGCCAAAAGAACTTCAAATATTACACATAATTTTGACAAGTTTCCACCAAACATCAACAAATCTCAGCAAAAGCTCAAGAAAAAATTTCTTGTCCCTTCAACACACACGAATGTTGATGGATGTGAGGTCACCAACCACATGACGTCACCTGTTGAAATAGAGACATGATTAAAGGTACACTCAGTAGGAAATAACATCCAATTCAAATGTGCTATCATTTTACTATGTTACAGCTTTAAGTACTTGCCTTCATTAGATCATTTCATTTGATTTATTCATTTTTTACAGTTTATCAACCCCTTTTTGTTTTATTAATGTTCACTCTATACAAGGCCTAAGAGTCACTCACGATAGGGTGAGTGGTGTCATATGGGTGGAAGAAAGGGGAAGAAGTGATGTTCTTGGAGCAAAAGATAGTGGCTAACTCTAGACCTGAAGAGGTAAAAATAGTTGTGATTGGGAAAACATAAGTGAATTTAAAGCCAGAAAATATTTTCAGATTGCAAGAATTTTGAGGGTGGGTGGGAGGAGATAATGATTTAGTGGTAAAGGTCTTACTAATTAAACCAGAACTGGGTGAGGGGGTTGGAGAAGATTAGAATTTATAATTTTCCCAAGGTTATTTACATGTAAGAGAATATAACGAACCCAACTGGAATTGGAACTCGACTCTCCGATTAACAATTCTGAGCCATTATCCATTACACCACCCGCACATCTAAGCTTACAGCACCTGGTATTCCCAAGTGGTCACCCATCCAGGCACTGACCAGCCTCAACGTTGCTTAACTTCAGTGATCATACGAAAACTCGACTCTTCGATTAACAATTCTGAGCCATTATCCATTACACCACCCGCACATCCAAGCTTACAGCACCTGGTATTCACAAGTGGTCACCCATCACCAGGTTCAACATTGCTTAACTTTGGTGATCATATGAGAACCAGTGTTTCAACTTGATGTGGCTGTAAGCCTTACTCATCATTACTGTGTTATAGCTTTAAGTAATTGCCTTCATTAGAGACAACCAGTGGAGTAATGGATAGCAGCTGAGATTAAGGAATCAGAGAACTAAGTTTTGAATTCCAGTCGAGTCTGTTACATTCACTTACCTTAGAAAAGGTATGAATCCCTCTCCCCCCCCCCCACCACCAGCTATGGGTAAATAGTCGGACAGACCAGGTTCTATAGCCTTGAATGGCAACCTACTGCGGGAAAAAATCTGCCTAGTCAGTCATGTATCGAAAGATACATGATCGCCTAAGCATGTATCATGCATAGCAAATAACTGACTATGCTGAGTTATGAATAATTATCAAGGAAAGAAGTTATTGTTTATATAAAGACTATTTCAAGACATTTTTATGTTTATACCATCTTTTTTATAGATACAAATATTTAAGTAAATGCTCTGTTTATAATAAACAGTATTAAACAATATTTACCGGCCTGAATGTCCGATAAATTTTCATAGAAAATATGCGTCATCTGACAGGAATTAAACCTGTATCCTATACGGAAACGTCATATAGCCTGATGTGCTTTTACCAATTTCGTCACAGAGGAGCACTTCAGTTAGCAAGAATGTACACGAGAAAATCATGGAAAATTGTAGTTTAAAAACAGTAAAAATCAACCTTGCTGACCGAAACGCTCCTCTGTAGCGAAATCGGTAAAAGCACGTCAGGCCATATGACAGTTCTGTATAACAACAAAGATGAGGATAATAGTCCATATCTAAATAAAAACTAAGCATCAAGAAGTGATACAAAATTTTGGCATATAAATGTTGCATTTCAATTGAAATTCACAAATGTGTGAAAGTAAATTATGGCAATAGTTGTATGGATGTAAATAACCTATCAATGACTGGGTTGAGGAGGGGGGGTGTCAAAATTAATATTTACTCAAGCTGTTGGAGGATCATCTCCCAAGACATTACTTCTCCTTAGGGAGAAGAGCTGCAGTCATTACCTGGCAGTGGAGGTGTTGCAAAAAGGTAAAGTGTCAAGGGTGCTTCAGCAATTTTTATATCGCTACCATCCTACTTTAAAATCGACCTTGAATCACATTCTACTCAACATATCTGTGCAATCAAATACAATCAAAGGCAAACTTCTTTTTTTTTCTTTTTTTGCACAACACAAGTCTGCTTTGAAGGCTTCACTATCACTATTTATTGTGGCCTTGTGCCACACTAAACAAATTTTAGAAGATATAACTATTATATATATATATATTTAATCAATTCGCCCCAAGCAAGGCAATAATACCAAGACACAAGGAGCTCCTGGGAATGAAAGAGAATGAAAAAGATTTTAGAAGGAACTAGAAACCCAATCCTAAACAGGAAACAAGGGATAAACCTCTACTCCTGTTCAAAAGACTAGAGAGGAGCATGAAGTGGACAATAGGCAGATATATCTACTACTATTGAGGAAAAAAAATAGTAAATAAAATTTCACACTTTTGGCATAGACATTAGATGTATAGAGTTGAGATATATTTTTTATCGTGTGTGTGTGTGTGTGTGTGTGTGTGTGTAAGATGAGACAAAGTTGAAAATTCATTAACAACACATTTTGCCGAAAGCATTTTCTCTCTTTGGCTTCCTCAGGTTAGAATGAAAGAATGACAAAATTGAGGAAAAATGCTTTGGGATCTGAAGATAAGTGAAGAGCATGAAACAAAATTAGATTACCTTATCACCTCCAATGTCCAGACTCAAGAGAATGTCTGTTCAAACAAACAGGCAGACAATCTCAAGTCTGGACATTGGAGGCAATAATGTAATCTAATTCATGGTCCCCACATATCCTCAGAGATCCCAAAGCATTTTTCCTCACATACAGTTTTGTATTTCTTTCATAAGTTTTGTTTCAGATACTATTATACATCCTTCAAGCATGCATGCATATAGAATTCTCAGTGTGTATCGTCTGTGTCGCATCAACATAAACAAATGTGAGTTATCCCATAAGCAATGATATCCTCACTCAGCCTCTTTTTGGTCTTTTTAGCTCTGGCTTTCAGATGTCAATAGGAGCAATACCAACAAGGCATGTTCGCTTCTTTGTTCCTTCTTTGACTTTTGAACTCTCTCACACACGCTAGTTACACAGACACACTTATTATAACTTGTTTTAATGTTTCTCCTTTTCATTACAACTGTCTACACATGATATTTCTTTTGTTAATACAGGCATTGTCATTTGTTTTATAATTATTGCCTTATGTTTACTCATTTTTACCTGCACTCACATTGAGTCTGTCAATATTGTTTGTAGGATAGATGTTCCAGGAGCCCATAAATATTTACTCTCCAAGGTGTTGATTCCTGCAACATAATGGTGATTAATATTTACCTAAACATACTAGCAGCCACCAACACGAACTTAGTCCGATGAAGTCCTAAAGGACAAAACATGTCATACAAAAACTTTTTCTACTTTGTCATATATCTTTCCTCCAAAATTGTTCTTGAGATAGATAGATAGATATTATATATATATATATATATATATATATATATAATCGTAAGATGAGAATGAATAGAGTACAATTCCAATGTTCGTAACATTCAATTTAAAAGAGGGCTCAATTGTGTAGCGATTTTGACATGTTTTTCAATGTAATACCCTAAAATAAAGTATCACAAAAAAACAATTCATACAAAGAATTAAATAGCAATGTTAATGTGATTAATGCCAAAATCACTTCACTAACAGAAATTAATGAGACATTAACTTACTATCAATTGCTTGAATAATAAGATCCTTATATTTGAGTTGTTGTCAGATGAAAGACACATGCCAAGTACTTTCAACAATTTCAAATTGTCATCTTCAGGGCGCAATTCTCCCATACACAGGCAATCACCAGATGTAATATGTGTAGACCGAAAGATGTTTCTTTTAAAGTATGTTATTTTCACTCTACTAAATGGATTATACTAAGTCCATTTCACTTCAACAGATAAATAGATATAACAAGAAAAGTTTGTGGATTTATAACTTTTCAAAATTGAAACAAAATTCTTACTTGATCAATTTGAACTAAAAGTGTTTGCCTATGTATGGGGAAATTGTGTCCTGAAAATGACAATTTGAAATTTAATTCATTGCTATTTAATTCTTTGTATAAATTGATTCTTTATGATATAAAATATAAGCTGCACACTAATATAATTTTTTATATATGATCACAAATAGCGATGAAACCCAGGGTCACAAACTCACATCAATCCAATATATATATATATATATATATATATATATATATATTAAAAAGGTATGCTTTCTTTATGGGTAAAAAGTGCATGCAAGAGATAATGCATAAGAAAATATTACAAGTTAACGCAGAGATCAAAACCTAATGATGACAGTGTGTTTCTTTTTGAACGCAATCTTTATCTTTAGTCCTGAAGATTGCGTTCATGCATCAGACAGACTGTCGCCGCTCAGTGTTGACCTCAGTTTCCACTTATATGATAGAGGCTGCTGTCAAGGTCAAGGACTAAGGACTTTTCTTTTTTTTCACAGCATCTCCTCAAACAAATCTGTGACAATATAGAATTTGCATCCAGCACATGGTCTATTTACATAAAAAATATGCATTATATTGCCTCTACACACAAATATAGCACTTCTTCAATCATTAGTTATTAGTTAAGAAAACTTAAAAAGATTTGCATTGTTCTGTGTCTGGCAAAACAAGTTATGTAGTAAAAAAAAAAATCATTGAATGAAGAAGAGTGAATGCACAATTAAAAAACCGGTTTATTTTTATGATACAAATTTCTATACACACTCCTGATATACAGAAAATATACTTTATGAATTCTGTGCAAAAAAGAAAAAAAAAGCATCTCGTATGGGTGCAACAACGAAATTCAAGGCGTTGTTGACACGTGTCCCTTTAAGTTAAATTATATTCACCTTCTTTCTTACGAATGTTTTTTCTTTCTTTTATAAGCACTTGTAGTGAGATTTTTGCAAAATATGATATTAAAAATTGAGACGCATAATTAAGAATATATAATTACAAGCTTTTAAAACATATTCCGTTGTCCGTGGGGGGGGGGCACACAAACTGAATCCAAACAGAAATAAAATACGAATAAGGAAAGAAAGTGACAGAAAATAACTTAAAAAATCTTTAATTTTTATGGCTTTGTTTTTTTTTTTAAATGCCTCGAAAAATTAACGATTCCGGTCTTATAAATAAATAATAATAAAAGATTTTTTTTTAATATCTAGAAAGAAAAAAAAAAAACTTTAAGTAAACTAAGTTCATTGTTTAAAAAACAAAAAAACTCAATACATTATTTTAATTTCTTTTCTTTCTTAACTAATGAATTACTTAGTTAAAAATCACAAAATAAAATTGTTTTTCGTTTGATTTGTCTCGTTGCAAAGTAAATTAATAACAAAAAATTTTAAAGTCAAATCCGAAGAAATTCGTTGAACTAAAAAACATTAATTTCTAATATTGATCGATTTCTTTACCAAAGTCAAAATTTATAGGGAATTAAAAGAAATTAAAAAAAAGTTTAAACTAAAATAAAATCATTTTACAAACTTTTTTTATTGGTGAATTTACTAAAAAAATGTTGGTTATGGTTAAAAAAAAAAAAAAAGGACTCAGCCATGGAAAAGTTTTTTTTTTTTTTGTTTTGTTATTTCGCCTAAAATATTTTAGAAGACTTTAAAAAAAATACTTCGGTGATCAAATTAAAATTCGTCATAAACTTCATTTGACTTTTTTTTATCTAACAACTGCTTCGAAAAAAGAAAAATAAATTAGCCGAGAAATAAAAACTTTTTGAACAGGTAAAGTTCCTGGAAGAAAACGCAATATAAACTAAAAAAAATAAGCAAATACCGTTAATGACATTATAAAACTTGGAAGTCCTTTATAGAAATAAAAGTTACAAACGACTGACTGGGTTATTAAACACAAAAAAATGAA